CGGACGAGGTAAAACCGGGCGCGACGATCAAGATGCCCCAGGAGCAGCTGCGCACGCTCCAGCGACAACCGCGCCATCGCGGCGCTGGCTGTCATGGAGAGCGCGAGCGGCAAGAAGCGACTCGGCCGCGACGGCGCACGCGAGGTCGTCGTGAACCACCGGATTCGATGACGGAGCCGACAGAGGATGCCGATGCCCGCGGAGATGAACTACCACCTGAGTCACTACGAGGACAGGCGCGAGGTCACCTTCTCACTTGTCACCGACGCCACGGGGGCCCCTCCGAGTTCGGGGGCGAAGTGTGCTCCAGCACCATTAGCATATTCTGCATATCCAGCGCGCCAGAATAGTGACCCAGGCTATTCGGCGCCGCGCTGCAGGCGATATTGTTTGTTGGGGGACGAATTGCAAGTGGAACAGCTCACCTATGCCGAAGATCTGGAGGCGATCGGTGCGGGGGGGCGAGGGCGACGGGCGACTCTCTTCATGGTCGTCTCACTCGGCGTCTTCGGCTCCCCGACGGAGGTGGTCCAGACGCGGGGCGGCCTCGTGGTGGACTGGGTCGGACTCCACCGTGACTGCACCAAGTGCACCATGGGCATTTTCCGCGGCGAGGGCGAATCGGATTGCGGCATGGTGCGAAGAAGCGGCTGAACGCAGCGCCATCCGCGTTAGCGAGGTGGCGCTGGGCTAGGGGCGCCTGGGCTTCGCGGCGACGGCCCCGGCGTGGGAGGGGCCGCTTCCGGGGCCGGCGCGCGCCTGGCTCGCCAGCGCCGCAGGGCAGGACGAGAGGAGGGTCGCCTTACTATGGGCGACCAGGATTGCGCTGACATGGGCCGGCAGACGATTGGCGAATGGACCTAGCCTGGAGTCGCCCATCATGTTCAGAACCAAGAGCGCCAGACACTTCCGCTCGGATGCGAAAGCGGAGGGAGGGCGCCGCTAGACGGGTGGCTGGGAAGTACCGCCAACCAGCAGCACGCGGAGGGCCAGCTAGCATGCGCCCGAGGTAGAGGAGGAATGGTTCCCCTCGGCATGGGCCACGGCAAACGACGCGAACAAGGCCATCGTTTCGCTCGAGCTCCTCGGCGCGACCCTCTGCGCGAAGCCGTTCGCGAAGCCTGGGTAGCGCCGCCAGCGGGCACGCCGCAACATGGCGGGGTCGACGGACAACCCGGGGGGCGCTGGCGCGGCGAACAGGGCCGCCGCGTCGACCGGGCGGCCTGTCACAGACCTCCTCATCTAGCTTTCAGAGGAGCGGAGGTCGCTCAAGATGGCGCTGAGCCTACACTGGCTATCGCGCAAGGAGAACTGGGAGGCGGGCGACCTCGGCAGCGTGAAGACGTCGGATTTCGACGAATCCTGCAGGATCCACGCGGCGGTTTCGGACCTGAAGTGGCACGCGCTCGACAAGATGGCGCGGGCCTCCCTGGAGCTCCTCGAGTCGATCGTCGAGGAGATGGCGGCCGCCACGGGAAAGAAAACCCGCAGCGGGGTGCGGCCGCCGGGGCCGCGGGCGCGCGCGCCTGACGCCGCGGTGACAGCATCGCCCAGCGCGTCGTTGACAGCGCCGCGCGGGTGGAGCTGGAGGCGGCGGCGGCGGCGCGCGGGGCCTTGCGCGACCTTAAGAGGGCACAGCCAGAGGTAATCGGGGCGGCTCCAACCTTTTTGCGCTGGCGGGGTCGCCGACCCCGCATTCCCTTTCTGGGAATCCAGCGGCCACCTCGGTTGGCGAGAGCCCCCATGGTGGGCGCGGGGATCAGGTCTGCGAGGGGCCCCCCTGGTTGGGGAGAGGCCCTTGAGCCACCTCACCTGCCCCCTCTGCGCGTCGCGGTGCGGCGGGGGCTTGGGGATGCCGGCGCGACGGGGCGCTGGGGGCGAGGCGCGGCGGGCGGGCCACGACGCTCGCAGCGTCTGGCGGGGGTCCCCGGGACCGAGCCCCCCGCGCCTCCGCGCCTTCGCGCGCTCCTTTTGGTGACGCACTCCCATCGCTGAAGGGGGGCATCAAGTTCCTGGGATTGGCCCGGGCCCCTGCGCAACAGGGCCCCCGTCTCCCCCGCCCGTGAAAGAGGCACCTACGCCACCCCCCTCTTTAACCGTCAACGCACGGCTTATAAGGCCATTCGGGGATATTCCCTCGTGTTACAACACGAATGTGTATCTTCTTACTTTGCCCGATGCCTGTGGCCGTTGGGGCTCACGCTTTCGGCCCTTTCTGAACGCACCACCCACCACCCTGGGGCATCGAGTTCCTGGGCGTGCCTCGGGCCCCTGTATAGCAGGGCCCCCGTTCCCGCGACCCTCTTGGCTGCCAGCGCGGGGTCGCTCTCGGCAAAGAGTAGACGTCAGGCAGCTCGCTCGCCTGGCCCTGCTTTCGCCCCGGCGCAGCCGTGCACCAAAGGGCACTCCGTCTTTGGGTCACTCTGGCTCGTGGCAGAAGTTGCGAGTCGAGTGTTTCGGGGGTCGTGCTCTGTCGGGGCATCTTCGGGTTTCTGTGGCCTTTCACGAGGCGCCTTCGTGGCCGCGGCTGGACTCCCCGTCGGAATCATGGTCGGAACGCGTTCCAAGAGATGTTTAGGTGTCCCTCGTTGTCGCCGCCGCCGTGGTCGTCGATTTCGTCGCCGTATGGCCGCCGCCGCGGGTGTTGAACTCGCAACAGTAACAAGTATAATCTCAAATGCGTAGTAAAGTCGAGCACCATTGGGTTCATTCACGGCGCGGACAAAAGTCCAGCCCGGGTGTGGAGGGGGCCCGATGGTTCCTTAAGTCTGCCCGCGTTCCCTCGCAATTTGTCCAGGGAGCCCCTCGAAGTTCCTTTGGGTGGAGGCGCCATTTTCAAGACGAGACGCAACGACGAGGGGATGCCCCCCAAAAGAAGCTCTGCCGTTCCCTAAAAAGGTGTGAGTTTCTTTTCAAAAAGGGGGCTACATTCCTTATTTAACATGTTTCGTGGCCGTGCCATGACTGTATAACAGAAAACAATGTGTGCAGTGCTAAAAGGGTCATAGTAGAGGCTTCGCAGTAGTAGTAGCACTAGCTCAAATCAGCAGTCGAAACCGATCTGCACAAAGCTTGATGGCGACCGTCCAACGCAGCGCTTTATTACATCTGCGCGACAACCGTTAGCCTTCCTCTTGCGCCACAATCGTCGACTGGCCACTTGGCCTCCCACATGTTTGCATGTACGAATGTGCTTAAGTGTGCATGGGTAAGCGCGCATGTTGTATGATATGAATATATTCGCGCCAGTTTGCATAATGTTATGCCTGATTGCTCGTGCACGTGCGTGTGTGTGTAGGAGTGTTCCCCCTGGACCCTTCGTACAGGCACACTTCACCACCGCGTAGCCCGTCGATGTTTCAGCCGCCATGGGCCTCTTGTCGCTTCGGGGCCTGTTCTCGTTCATTCTCAGAGCCTAATGTTACTGCTGATGTTTCATGCGTCGGCTCGCTCACGCCGCACCTTGCCCCTGGATAGCGCATCTGGGCCTGCCGCCGTGATCCAAGATTCGCGGCTTGTTTGCCTTGCGTTCGTGGCCCGTTAGCATTGCGCCCTCGCTTCACAACGCGGCGTCGGAGCACAACATGTTTGTTTGTGTGTGTGTTTTCAGGGAGCGGGCGGCTGCGTCCGGCGTTCGTCGAGACACATTGTTTTCCCTGAGCGGTGTCAAAGGTGGATCAGTTGTCTTGCAACCCCCTGGTGCAACCCCCTGGCGCGTTGGAGGACATGTGCGTACGCGCGATTATAGTTTGAGCGCGCACGCCATAAGCACGCATGCGATTCGCACTGGCGCGTCCACCTTGTGCTACCAAGTGATTAGTTCCATTCTGCGGAGGAGGGAGAGCGGGTTGACATGTGCGTAGTCATGTGTATGTCCATCTCACGTGGATGTTGCCACGTCGTGAAATGGATACCTCGTGATTGCAGCTGCCAGTCGCCGTTCCGCTGTGGGGACTGGCAGATGTTGTGCACAATGGTCCAGCGAGTGCCCGCAACGGCCTGCCACTACGCCCGGTGGCGCGACGAAGAGGAGTCCTTCATCCGAGAGCGGAACGCAGGGAAAGCAGGGCGGCCGGAAGAGGGAGGGGCAGGAGAAGGATGAGGAGGGGAGGAGAGGGAGCAGATCTCTGCATACAATGTTCCACAGTGCTCACGTGAGAACACATGTCGTGCGAGACCTCGTGTTTTTCTGAAGGTTGGAATGTTGCGAACATTGCCGGCTGTGTGTGCCCACCCCGGCAAGCCAGGCATACATGTGTGAAGCTTATCTTGGTATGTGAACGTTCTGGCCCTACAGGTCGCCAGATGACAACAAACACAGATCATCATACAGTGTACACACGGGATGGTGTCATGAGCAATGTGCTGTTTTGGTGGGCTCCACACGCGTATCCATAATTATAGACGCTTCGCGTCACCTGACTGGCCCATCCCGATCTCAGGCCTTCCAGATGATGGATCGCGCCGCATGGCCGATGCATTGGCGATGCGGCTCGAAGTGGAGCCCGGCTCTCTTTGCGCGGACTCCGCCGCTGCATCGCCGACGCGGCGAGATCCTCTGACCCCATCTACCCCGACTCCATCGTCAGAAATGAGAGTCCGGCAAGGTAACCAGAAATCGAGGAGCCTCGCGCAAGGCCCCTCTCCGCTCGTCGCTCACGCGAACCTGCCGCCTCTCCTTTCTCTCCTCCCCGATGGGAACCACAGGGGTGCTGCTTTGTGCAGAGCTTGCGGGTGGCACTGCACAGACACCGCCCAGTTGCTCGTGGAGGCCTGTTCCTCCACCCCGACCCCGGGCTGGGCATGCTGTCGCGCCTCTCTCGAGGGCTGCCGCCGAAGGGCGGAAGGAACTTCCCGGGGAGCGCCTGGGTTTGCCAGTGGGTTCCCGATCGTCAGGGAGCGGCCCGGCCCAGAGCGAGGGCAAGGTCCTCATCCTCCTCCTCCTCCTCCTCCTCCATCGATCCTCCTCGATACGACGAGCAGCGGCGATGCCCCGCGAGACCATCAGCGGCTGCTGGCGCCCTGGCTTCTGCTCCGAGCTGGTGGCGGAGCGCTGCCCCGCGGCGTGCGCCGGGGAGCGCCTCTGCCGCGACACGCGCACCGCTGGGCTGCTGACGTGCCCTCTCGGGAGGGCGTCGGGAGGGCAGGCGAGGCGCTGGCCGCGTTGGGGTCGGCAGGGGCTCGCCGTACCTGGTGATTTCGTGGTTGTTCCGCGGGCCCTCCTCGTGCACCCAGGATCTCTGGGCGCCGAGGAGGGTCGGGCCGGACGAAAGGGGGGGAGTGGGAACGGGGGGGTACGAAATTTGAAATTTGCTGCACGCAGCTGGTTTCGGCCTCACCGAGGGGCCCAGTCCTCGATACATAGCTGCCTCTGGCGCCGGATCAGCTACGTGAGCTGATTCTCCCCCCCCCCTTTGCTATCCCCCCCCTTTCGCCCGGCCCGAGAGGAGGGGTGTCGTTCTCTATGAAGCGCTCCTTGTTGCAGCAGGTCGACCGTAGTCGACTGCAGGTAAGAGTGACGCTGCGATAGAGTGACCATCGGTGCGGGCCCCCAGTCGCTGAACGCGAAGCGAATCTACGTGCAACGCCTTTCTGCATCATGTTTCTAACCACTTCTTCCGACCGGTGGGTAGGGGAGGGATAGGCTCAGGGGGGGGATGCATAGACCCCCAGTCGCCCATTCAACGCCGATAGGGGCCCCATAGCCCACCGCGCCCAAGCACGTGCGGTTTCGCTGTCCGGAGCCTATCACCAACCTATTGGCGATGCCTCGCCGATTCCAGGTCGATGCTTCCCCCCCTGGACCAATTCCCTCCCATCGGTCCCCCTTAGGGTCGAAGCGGGTCGTGGTCTTTCAAATAATGGCAAAGTTCTACACGCATCGCGTAACCCAACCATCCCGTCCAGAAATGATGCCCAGGCGAGTTGCCCTGACCAGATGTGTGGAGGAGCCAACGATGGAATAAAGGGCTAATTAGGGAAACCGTCATACCCCAAGAGGGGGAGAATGAAGGAGGAGTCGCAGGAGGATGAGCAGGGAGAGGAGGAGGGGGAGGGGATGGAGACTCGCAAGGTGCGATCGCGTCATATCTGACGACCTACCCCTCCCTCCCATCCCTTACCATGGCGTAGATCTCCTCTCCATTCGCACAGTCGGATGTCGAGCAGGGCAATGATCCCGGGAGGGTGCGGGATGCATCCTAGCGCACGGCATAGCATGGCGTAGAAGAGCATTGTTGAGCGTAGCATGTCGTGGCATTGCGTACTGAAGCATTGCATCACAAAGCATTGCGACGCAAAGCATGGCATCGCACAGCAGCACAGAACACAACACCGCGCTGCATGTCATGGCATGGCACTTGGTTCCTGGGAGGGAAAGTTGATCGTCATCGAGAGGTCTGGGCCGGTCTGAAGTCGCGGCTCCATGTTCAGCTCCTTGGGCTTCCCGGAGAGCTCCCCACGAGGCGGGGCTGATGGAGAAAACCCGCTGGCTCTGCTTTCAAAATCGCCTTCTCAAAGCAGAAACGGGCTGCCGCCTGATACTTCCTCAGCGACGACGTCCCAAAGTAGGGGGGCCTTCTGCGGCCCCAGAAATTAACGAATCGGCACCGGATGTGTAATCACTTCGGATGTTTTTTCTCGCGAGGTATTTTTTTCCATTTGGACTTAGATCGGAAGGACGAGAGACGCCCGCACTGCAGCGGTAGCACGATTTGGAACGACCTGAATTCGGAACGAGCGGAAGCGCGGCAATGAGGCCAGCGCTCAAGCGGGAGCATGATTCGGAACGAGAGGAATCGCGGGAATGAGGCCAGCGCTGCAGCTGGAGCTCGATTCGGAACTAGCGGAAGCCCGAAAATGAGGCCAGCGCTTCAACGGGAGCAAGATGTTGAAAAGAGCCAAGCAGAAACCCATTGCCCAGGAATCTTGCGTGTTAAAAAAACGCGGAGGGGGGCCGAATGTCTTCCGGACGCCATCAGGGGAGAGAGGAGAGTAGTATTCATATGGTGTAACTGTGGAGGGAGGAGGGAGGAGGAGGAATACGCCGATGGTGAAGAGGAGGAGGTCTCCTCAGAGCTTCTTGGAGTCTTCTTGGGGCGTTCGGGGGGCCTCTTGGCGGTCCCAGGGAGTCTCTTGGAGCGTCTTGGGTGCCTCGGGGCAGCCTCTTGGGAGGCTCTCTTGGGGCATTCTTGGCAACCTCGGGGACTCTCTTGAGACAATGTTGGAGGACATCGATCAAAGAAGGGGGGTGGTCAATTAGCCTCCCCCTCTGCAGCTCCCCAAACGCCTCCGAGATTCTCGTGAGGCGTTCTTGGGGCGCCCTTGGGGCCGTCGTGGAGCCCTTTTGGGCCCCTTTTGGGCCCCTTTCGAAGCCCTCTTGGGCCATCATGGAGCCATCTTGAGGCCTCCAATGTTCATCGGAAGCGAACAGGCGGGAAGGCAAGTCACAGTAACGTGTCTCAGGTGGTGTCGGGATTCTGGCCTCTCTGGGGCGTCTCGGGGGCCGCTCGGAGCTGTCTCGGGGCGGTCCGTGGACCTCTTGGGGGCATGTCGGAGGCCATGTTGAGCCATGCCAGGCTACCTCGAGCCACCGTGGAAGTCACTGGGGGCTCCCTGAAGCCCTCTTGGAGCCATCCTGGGCCAAGCACGGCGCTGTGTCACCCCGCCGCTTCCCTCGTCCAGACCCAGGGAGGGGGGGGGGGGGTAGGGTCAAGTCGGGCCCGTCCCTCTCCAGGGGGAATGTTCAAAAGTAGCAACAAAAGATAATATGGGGACGACTTGTTGACAATGGTCGCGCATGTCTGGGGGTATGTTTGGTGTATTTTTCATTTTTCGCCCAAGATCCCCCTGTAGGGGGACAGGCCCGACCTAAGGCTAGGGGGAGGGGCCAAGCCACCCCAAGCCGCAAGCCGTGTCGCTCACTCCCAGCCGCCTTTCCAGCACGCGGGCAGCATCCGAGCCTGGGCCCCGCCCAATGCGGCGTCCAGCAGTCCCGCCGGAAGCGCAGTGCCGAGCATCCACTGAGAAAGGGTGGAGCCCGAAGCACCAGCGCCAATTCACGAAACGTTCTTCCTTGAATCGAAGACGAACAAAAACACATAAACACAAAATTGTTGCGCTCCGCGCGGACTGCTTGTATCCGCGCCTGGGCCCCCCGGCGGCGCCTCCGGCGCCGCCCCTGGCGCGCTCCGCGCGCCAGGGAGGGAGGTCCATCGCGAATCCAAGAAATCCGCGCGGAGAGCCGACAGTTTATGTGTTTTTTCTTGTTTCTTCTTCTTTTTCTATTGAAGCCGCTTTCCCAGACAGAATGGAGAATCTCTTTTCCTGGACCCTGTCGTATTTTCAGAGCCACTGCAAAAGATCGCGGGGCGCCCGCGCATGAACCAGCCTTTGCCACACAGCGTGCTCTGCACTGCTTGAGGACAAGGATGGTGGGCATGCGCAGAGCGGAGATTTTGAGGGCACCGCCGCCGCCCCTGTCACAAAAACCGCGCAGAAATGATCAGGGGGCGCCCGTGCGGGGCCCAGATCTTCTGCTGCCGGGCATGGCTTGCACTGTGTTCTGACGGGGGTGGTAGGCCTGCACGGAGCGGACACGAGGGCACCCCCGCCGCCCCTATGAAAAAAACAGCGGGGAGTGCTCACCGGGCGCCTGCGCACGGTCCAGATGTTGCGGCAGTGTGGTGTTTGCATGGTCGGCTGACAGGGATGGCGGGGGGGGGGGCTGCCCGGATTGTCCCCAGCTTGTCGCCGGTCGGGTAGGAGGGAGGGTGTAGATCAACCAGGAACAATGCTGGCCCCTCCTGGAAGTGGAAGAAGGGGGCTGGAAGAGGGAAGGCCCTAAACCATTCACGCCCGGAGGGCTGGTGGGCTACATGTATGGTTTCCCCATGGTTGTTTCGCGATGTTGGGACACTCGTCCCCCCCCCCTGGCCTTTCCAGGCGCTCGGGAGGCGCAGGAGAACCCTGACCCGGTTTCTCGGCGCCCCCGAAGCACGTGGAGGCCCCAGGGGTCCGAAGGCGGCGGCGAGTGCCCCCCTCGTGCCGGGAGAAGCGGGGGCGGCTTTACCGTGGGGCTCCGTGGCTCCTGGAGCCCCACGTGGGGTCTCCCGCCGCGGCCCCCCCATGGATGCTGGGCGGGCTCTGCGCGGGTGTCCCGCGCAGAGTGTGACGTCGCAGATTCGCTCGGAGACAGCAGGATTCGTTGTCGATGTCGCCGCGGAGGTTGACCAGATGAGACGACGGTCCCTTGCCCAACAGCCGCCGCTCTCTCTCTCTCTCTCTTTATCTCTTTCTTTCTCTTTCTCTCTCTCTCTCTCTCTCTCTCTCTCTATATATATGTATATCCCTCTCTGTCTTCCTCTCTATCCTTCTGTCTCTCTCTCTCTCTATTTCCCTCCCTCCCTCTTTGTTTGGGACGTCATTTTCAAGTGGGCATCGTCTCCGCTTTTTACGTCGGGCGTGGCAATACCTCGATCGAGGGTCGGCCACCGAGGAGCGAGGAGCGAGGTACAGAGATACTCGTTTTGGCTCTTGTCCGACCTCCAGCAGCCTCGGGAAGCGTCTGGAGACCTCCAGAGTCCCTGGGGTACCTCCAGTGACCTCCGATTCGGGGCTCAAGAGACGGGGGGTCAATGCAAACGGGGGTCAATCAGAGCGCCGGATCTCGGAGAATCCTGCAGAGCCAGGGCTGCATTGGCCCGGGATTGGGTGCAGGGTCCTACAGGATCCTGCAGGATCTTGCAAGGCCCGATGGACCCCGGTTGGGATCGGACCCGGGTCAGCAGATCCCCGACCGATGACGACTGGAGACCTCCAGGTACGACAAGTTCACCGCGGCGTTCGCCAAGGCCATGGTGTACATGCTGATGGAGGATCGGCGGGCGCAGACGGCATCTCTCCTTCCCGGCGGCTCGCAGCAGGAGGCGGAGGTACAAGGGCGCCTCTAAAGTTCGGTCGGGCCCGTCCCTCTACAGGAGGAATGTTCAACAATAGTCCAGCAACAGTCTGGGGACGAGTTTTATTATTAATATTATTATCATTATTATGCTATTTATTCGTCTTCATATCAATAATATTATCATTATTAACATTATTATTATTGTTATTATTCTTCTTCTTATTATTGTTATTATTATTATTGTTGTTGTGAGTATTATTATTCGTATTAGTATTCTTAGTATTATTACCATTATTACTAGTATTAGTTTTATTACTAGTTTGACCATGTTGGGGTATGTTTTGACTATTCTGAACTCTTCGTCCAAAACCCACCTGTAGGGGGACACGCCCGACCTAACTCTAAAGCTGCAGTGCCCCTCTCCGGAGCCCTCCCGCCCTCAGCACGCCCCCTGCGCAGCCTCCACACGCCCTCTGCGAAGACCCCCTGCGGCCTCGGGAGCAGGCCCGCGCCCTCGCCCCACCACCGCGGGCGCGCGGGCATTCTGCGTCGCGGACGGAGGAGGAGGAGAAGGAGGAGGAGGAGGAGGAGGAGCAGGAGGAGCAGGAGGAGGAGGAGCACGAGGAGGAGGAGGAGGAGGAGGAGGAGGAGGAGGAGGAGAAGGAGTACGAGGAGGAGGAGGAGGAGGAGGAGGAGGAGGAGGAGGAGGAGGAGGAGTACGACGAGGAGGAGGAGGAGGAGGAGGAGGAGGAGGAGGAGGAGGGGCTCGGGATTCGGGGCGCTTCTCGGAGGCCCGCGCGCCGTCTCCGGAGGGGAGGCCATCTGTTGGCCTTCGGGGCCGGCAGAGCTCTGCCCGCGGCGAGGAAGCGGTTCCCGCGGCAGGGTCGAGGGGTCCAAAGGGAGCCGAGGCCGCGAAGGAGTCGTCGCGTCGGAGGAGCAGAAGAAGGCGAAGTCGCGAACTGAAAACAACCGCCCAACCCAAGCGCCAAGACAAGGCGCAGGCTCCTTGCGGTGTTTGGGGGGGGCCGATTTGGGGGTAGACTTCTTGCGTGAGGAGCAACGGCGAACGCAAGCCATACCCGAAAATATGTAACTAGCCGATTCTCGTAACCTCGGTCAATCAGCGATCTTGGGATCGGGATCGCATCTTCTTTTGGTCAAGAAGGAAGAGGAGGAGGAGGAGGAGGAGGAGGAGGAGGAGGAGGAGGAGGAGGAGGAGGAGGAGGAAGAGGGGGAGGAGGAGGAGGAAGAGGGGGAGGCGGAGGAGGAGGAGGAGGGGGAGGAGGGGGAGGAGGGGGGGGAGGAGTGGCGAGGTTTGGAGGTGTGCACAGACAGGGAGGCAGCTCAGGCTGGTCTCAAACGGCCCCCAAGAGCCCGTGACGGTCTCAACGCCGCGGCGCCGCCCCTCGGGGCCGCCCCCTCGAGAGCCCTGGGCCCAAAGATCCCCTCCCCCCAGGGCACGTCCAGGGGCGAAAGTCTGGCCACATGCTGATCCTTGCCCAGGCACGGGCGTCTACGCTTGCGTTGCCAGATGTGGTGTTTGAAGGCTATTCTGGACGGCCCTCATAAGCTGGCTTGAGTGGACTCGCCGCTTGACTGCAGCGGCGAGGTCGTCCCTTTTGCGTATACTGCTGCACTAGCTTGCGGTTGAGGTTTCCCGTGGCTGGCCCTTTGCAGCAGTAATTAGTTGAGTTGTTTGGCAGCCTCCTTGCCAATGCGAAAAGGTGGACCTCCGTACTGGTGTTGCTTCACAGCTGCAGGTACAGCTACATTTGAAATAGAACGTAGCTCGACGTGGCTCGGCGTTCGCCACCCCCCTTCGGACTTTTGAACGGAGGTCAAGGGCGAGCATAGCGAGCACCGTGCCTACGTCCGCTGCCGTTTGTATCTCAAGCGGCGCCGCTCTATGTGACTAGCGCCCGAGTAACGGAATAAAGGGAGACGTCCATATCTTTCGACGATGCGCCATCCGATCCCGTACCTGATTTCATATCTACTTGCTCATGCCTACTGCGTGGATAAGCTGTGGACAATCGTACGCCTAAGGCGTAATGTATGATACGGCTTGCCATACCCCTTTGCGATTTCGCGTGTGGCCATGTTTTGCTGTCCTGGATACGCCGTAGGCCTTCTGGGGGCCATCTTAGGCGGGAGAGCCGATGGAGTATGGCCCGCCTAAGTTTTTGTCCGTGTGGTCGGATGTGGAGTACATTGACAAACACTTATGTCAAAGTATGGCACGCCAGGCGCCCCATTCGCAAGCAGAAGGGGGCGTCGAATTGAAGACGCCTGCGGCGAACCACCGCCTCCCCTTGCCTTTTGGAAGCGCCCATGTGGCCACACGTTGGGCCGAAGCCTTGCCGAGCCATTGGGCTACGAGCTCCCCCAGCTCCCGTTGTGGAAAACCGTGGGCAAGGAGGAAGAGGCAAGCTAGGCGCGCTCGCGCCATACCTGACATGCTGACCCTCCCACCCATCCCTTCCCACATATCCGCCGGCGGGTTTCGCAGCGGACGTGGAACCCCCAACAGAATTTCATCGAGGTGTGAGCAATCAGAACAAGGGAGCTGTGTACCTCGGAGGAGGAAGGAACTTCGGATGAGCAGGAGGAGGCGCAGGAGGAAGAAGATGAGGAGGATTAAGGAGGAGGACTAAGAGGAACATCAGCAGGAGGAGCAGGAGGCAGGAGGACGAGAAGTGGGAGGAGCAGGAGAAGCAGGGGAAGGTGGAGGAGGGGCAGGGAACGGGACGACAACGGCGGGAAAGGACCCAGATCCAGAACTGCGGCCCTCGCCGGGGCGAAAGCGCAAGCCTGCGCGACTGGAGCAAGGCGTCGACCCGAGAACGAGGTCACCGCTGCAACGGGAGCACCGTTTTGAAGCAGTGGAGAAAAAAAAGGTCCGATTGAGAAAAGGACACGAAGACTATGGTTTCGATCTCTGTTACTCTAAAACAGAACGCAGGAGAAAACAGCCCAGCTCGGGCTCGATCCGGGTAGAGAGAAGAGGAGCACGCACATTGAGCAATTCTATTGTGACGGGGGGGAGGGGGGGGAGGGGGAGGAGGAGGGGGAGGGGGAGGAGGAGGAGGAGGAGGAGGAGGAGGAGGAGGAGGAGGAGGAGGACAAGGGGAAGGAGGAGAAGGAGGAGGAACGGGAGGAGACCTCTTGGGGGCCTTCTCTTGGGGCTTCTGGGGGGCCTCTGGGGGCCTCTTCGGGCTTCTGGGGGCCTCCAGGGGGCTCCTTGGCCTTTGGAGGCCGCCTAGGGGGCCACTCTGGGCAGTCGTGGGCCCTCTTTCTTTGGGCGCTGCAGGGTCTCCTTGGAGGTCCGTGGGGCCAGCCTTGAGGCCATCTTGAAGGCCCTGGGGCCGTCGTAGAATGCCGGAAGCCCGAAAAGCAGCGAAAGCGCGAAAAGTGCGGAAGCACCTCCAAGAGATCAATGGTGTTGGCTTCCTGGAGGGCCTCTGGGACCCTGGGAGCCCTCTCTGGCCGTATCGAAGGCGTCGCGCGCCGCGCTGAGGTCGGCTACGCCTACGAGTGACCCTGCGCCGGACTGACCTGTCGTGCGGGCCCAGAGGGGTCACCCCCAGTGCCCCCCCCCCGCACTGGCCTGCGAGCTGGCATTTGGCCTCCATGGGGCCCCCCCGCAGCCGCGCACCAAGAGGTCGCTCTTGCCCATGGCCACTCCCGCGTGTCGCCGATGAGGCCATCTTGGGCCGCCTGGGTCCATCTTGGGCCGCCTTGGAGGCAATCGTGGGCCAGGCCTGGGAGGAGGTGGTGCCGCAGAGGATCCGGGCCTTCAGGACGAACGGGGGGTCGACCTCCTTTCTGGAGGCCTCTTCGCCCATCCTGGATGGTTTTGCCACGTGAAGGTTTCACCTCCGAGACGAAGGTAAGGAGAAGGAGGAGGAGGAGGAGGACGGGGCAGTGGCGTGGTGTTCCAGGTGGCCGGCGCGAGAGGCCAAGGCCGGACGTGGCAACCCTGTGGAAGGCTCACCAAAAGCGAGGAATCTAGCACGGAGGAGGAGGAGGAGGAGGAGGAGGAGGAGGAGGAGGTGGAGGTGGAGGAGGAGGAGGAGGTGGAGGAGGAGGAGGAGGAGGCGGAGGAGGAGGATGACTGCCACATCCCGCCGCTGTGCCTGGCCTGTGTGTCGGCTGCGCCTCGGACGCCTGTCGGTGTCTCGTGGGGCGTCTCCCGTGGCCCTCGTGGGCGCCCCTGGGAGCATCTCGGGAGTCTGCGGAGATCTCTCGGTGGCGTCTTGGGCGCTGCTGGGCGATCTCGGTGGCTATCTTGGCACAAGATGGCTTCGTGGGCCCCGTCGAACTCCTCCCTCCACACCCAAAAACATGGATTACCCCAGCGTGGACCCCAAACAAGAACTGCGGTAGCGAAAGCAATGCAAAGCAGCGCAACGCAGTGCAAAACATCGCAGAGCAATGCAAAGCTATGTAAAACAAATCAACGCAAGCAATGCAAGCAACACAAAAAATGCAAATCGCGAAACAGCGCAAAGAAATACCAGCACTGCAAGGCCATGCAAAGCTAGCAGTGAAAAGCAGCGCAGAGCAATGCAAAACCCCAGCAACAGAGGCACCCGTGGCAGCGGAAAACCGACTCGGGCGAGTTGGCCCAGAGGTTTGCCGAAGTGCAGCCACAGTTGAAGTCAAGCCAAAGTTGAAGCGTATAGACAATGAAGAGACCACCCTGCAGGTTCAGCTAACAGAACATCGCTGAGCAGTGCCCAGCCCTCCTGCAAAAGAAGCACCCAGACAAGTCGGAGTTGCACCCTCAGGCATTGCTGAACTCAACGCGCGTTTCGGCACTGCCACTGCCGCCGCCATCCCCTCTGGGTGGACGGCGGCAGTGACAGTGGCGTTTGCCGACGCGTCCAAGCCTGGCGACAGGCAAAGGCAGACTGCAAGGAGTTCAAGATCCTCTTGACCTGATGGAGAAGCAACAGCAACATCAGGGAGGGTAGGCAAGACCGACGGGGAGCAATACAATACGACACAGACGCGACAAACCACTGAGGCACCCGTGCGAGAGGAAAACTGATTCAGGTGAGTTGGCCCGAAGGCGCCTCAAAGTGCTTCCACAGTTGAAGCCCATGCCGAAGTACGCAAGAACAGAAATGGCCCTCCCTGCAGGCTCGGCTGACAGCATATCGCCGAGCAGTGCTGCAGCCTCGCCCGAGCTTGCCCCCCCCGGCGACGCAACACCCGGACAAGTCGGGGTTGCACCTTCATGCTTTACTAAAACCCCTGAGCGCGTGTCTGCATTGGCACTGTCACCGCCGCACCTTCGTCAGGGCCACCGACCCGGGTAGATTGCGGCACCGGCGCTAGCGGCGGCAGGCGTATGCAAGCTTGGCGGCATGCGAGGCCAGATTGCGAGGAGCTATCGAATATTTTGAACCAGACGGGGAAGCAACAGCAACATCAGGGTTGGGAAACAATACAGACGGGAAATGCAATGTAAAACGAGACCGACATAACAAGTGATGGAAGCACCCATGAGTGCGGATATCCGACACGGTTGAACTAACCCAAAAGCGTTTCGCCCAGAATTGAAGCCGACGCCAAAGTTGAAGTGTTCAGAAATTGAATGGGCCCACCCTGCAGGCTCAGCTAACAGCACATCGCTGAACGGTGTTTCAGCCTCCCCTCAGCACAGCCTCCCCGCCCCCCTCACCCCAAACAAAACAGCACCCAGGCAAGTCGGATTGGCACCGTCATGCCGTGCTGAATTCTGCACGCGTTTCGGCACTGCCGCCACCACCACCTCACTAGGGCCACCAATTTGGGTGGACGGCGGCAGCAACAGTGGTGGCAGCCGACCAGTCCATGCCTGGTGGCTAGTAAAGCAATCCCCCGAGAGTTCGAGATTCTTTGCGTTGGATGGGGAAACAGCAGCAGTTGCAGGGAAGGGGGACAAGACCTATGGGAAAAGCGAGAAAAGACGGCACAGGAGCCACAACACAAGACGACGCAGAGCAGCGCAGAGCAACGCAGAGAACGCAAACCAACACAGGCGTTGAAATCCAGCCGAAAGCGTGCAACGGAATGCAAAACGTTACAAAGAACGGGGCGCCCACGTGGCGACGACGGGGCGCTCACAGGGCGGCGGTGGGGTGCCCGGTGGGCGAGGACGCGGTGCCCACGGGACAGCGACGGGACGTCCACGGGCAGCTGCAAGCCGAAAGTCCGGCGGACCGCCTCAGCCCCTGAGACAGTAGCGAGAGGTTGCCAGTACAGTACTTTCAGGGCGTGAATTACCTACCCCGCTTTCGCTTCCAGGCAAAACCAAGTCATGCCACGCGCCTCCTCGTCGAGCGGCCCGACCAGCACAGGCCGCAGTTTGGCATCGTTTGGTACCTCTGGGAAGCGAGGGTGGTCAGAAGCGAGGTTTGTTTTTCCCCTATACTTGTTAAGTTTAAATTTAAGTTGCCAGTATTAGTACTTGTGAAGTTCAAATCGGCAACGGGCCACACCAGATGCGGGTGCCGAGTGCCGCGTCTCGCCAGTGAGAGACGCACGAGGGGCAGGCTCCCCCGGAAGCGCGTGCGGGGGGGATGCCGAGAAGGGGCGGAGGGGCCGGCCATGCGGGCCCTGCCGCTGGGGCTTTTCGGTGGAGCTCCCTGCGGAAAAAAAAGCGCCGAAGGGGGGATGCGGGGGATGCCGAAAGGGGGCGCGGGGCCGGCCATGCGGACCCTGCCGTTTGGGGCTTTCGGTGGAGCTCCTTGCGGAAGAAAAAGCGCGCTGGGGGTGCCGCAACTCGGGGGAAAACAAACCTACCTCGCTTTTGACCACCCTCGCTTCCAAGAGATACCAAAAGGATGCCAAATGGCGGCCTGTACTGGTCAGGCCGCTCGACGAGGAGGCGCGTGGTACGGCTTGGTTTTGGCTGGAAGCGAAAGCGGGGTAGGTAATTCACGCTCTGAGAAACGAGCGCGGGGCTGCCATGTGGACCCTGCCGCTGGGGTCTTCCGTTGAGATCTCGACCGGGCCGCGAAACGTGCGGGGCGCCCCCGAGTCAGTGCGTGGCCCCAGTAATGCGGTCCCTGCCGCTGGGGAATCCAGTGGAGCTCCTTCAGGCAGAGCTCGCTTCGATTCCTCCGATTCGATTAGATTCGATTTCGATGGCTTTCGACTCCGATTCGATTCGGCTTCGGATTCCGATTTGGACTCCGATTTCTTTATGAGGCCCCACCACTCTGCCGATTTCCGCCGATTCGACTCCTCCCGAAGTGGCTGCCGATTTCCGCCGATCCGCTTCGTTTCGATCGCCGATTCGACTCATCGATTCGACTCTGGGCTCTCCTGCCTGCCGTGGCGGCGAAACGTGTGAGGGGTGTGCCGATGTGGGCGCAGGGCCGCCACGCGGACCCTTCTGCTGGAGCCTTCGGTGGAGCTCTCTCGATGTGGCCACGGAACGCGTGAGTGGTGTGGGGGGCGTGGCGGCCTCGAGGCGTTGTGCTGATGGCGATGAGTATTCGGGTTTTGGATGAAGATGTGGCTTGGGAGCAAGGTGATACTTGGGATGAAGATGATGACGGCGCTGATGTTGATGATGATGGTGGTGATGATGATCATCAGCATTATCAGGATGATGATGGTGGTTATGATGATGATGATGATGATGATGATGATGATGCTGATGCTGATGCTGATGCTGATGCTGATACTGATGCTGCTGATGATGATGATGATGATGACAACGATGGTGATGATGATGATGATGACGACGACGACGACTATGATGATGCTGCTGATGATGATGGTGAGGATTGTGATGGCGGTGTTTGTGCTGATGATGACGATGGTGAAGATGTTGCTGATGTTGATGCTGTTGATGATGCTGATGATGGTGATCATGGTGACGGTGGTGAAGATTATGATGATGATGATGATGATGATGATGCTGATGATGAGGAGGAGGAGGAGGAGGAAGAGGAGGAGGTGGAGAAAAAAGCGGAGGAGGAGGAGGTTAGAGGCAGGGATGTGCAGAAGGGGAGGGGGCAGCGTGAAGGAGTAACGCGGGGCGCTGTGATTTCAAAACGAGGACCCAACAGCACAGAGTGGTTGGGAAAAGTTGAAGTGTCCTACGTTGTTTGCGGCTGAAGGGATGCCACGCGACATTGCCCGAGGCAGCGCGGAAACTGGGGGTTGGAACTTTTGACTGAATTGCGCGCACGGAATGAAATGCCGATGAGAATTCGGAGGGCCATACGGACACCCCATTCAGAGCCTACAGCGCCGCGGCGGGGTGGTAACAGAGAGGAAGAGGAGGGTGAGGAGGAGGAGGAGGAAGAGGAGGAGGAGAAAGAGGAGGAGGAGGAGGAGGAGGAAAAAGAAGACGAGGAGCCGAGGAGAAGGAGGATCGAGGATCAAGGTTTGGGGGTGTTGTTGCCCTTTTGGGGCCGCCCTAGGTGGTCCTCATCTGGGCATCCTGAGACTTCTGGAAGCTTGCAGTGACCTTGGGGGGAGGAGGCGGAGGAGGGAGGAGAGGGGGCGGCGATGGAGGAGACGGAGGGGTGAAGACGAGGAGGGTCCTCGAGGGCTTCCGAATGTTTAGGGGGGTCCGACAGTTTCTAAGTTATGATCAAGGGTAACAGCATGAGGGTTGCCGCCCTTCCTGGGTCGGGCATTCTTCACCGCGATGCGTTCCGTGTTGTATTGCTCTTCGCCCGCTGAGAGGAATTGTCCAAGGTCGAGTTGATGAAGCTGATGTTCCTCACAGCCGCAAAGTTTGTCGCCAGTCTGCTTCTTATACAAGCCGCGGTGTGCTGGGCCGATTGGCCTCGTAGCAACCGCCTCGTGACGTTGGCATGGCTCGTGACCTTTGGCGCGCCGTTCATGCGCTCTCTCCTTCCCACCCCTGTCTTGATTCATTGGGCCCCGATTGACCAGCAATTTACGGAATTCCTCAAAGTCACAAATCAGCATTACAACATCTCGGGAAGGATGGACACTCTATCTAAAGTGGCCGGGATCAGTTGTAACGATCATGCCATGGAAGACAAAGTGGACAGCACATGGTCTAGTGTGCACCAGAATACACTCTGGTGGTGCGGGAAGGTAACATCTGCGTCACGATGGTTTCCGTGGAGCGAGACCCTTAAAAAGGGAGCGGAAGAGTGCCAAGTGGTCACCAACGAGGTTGGGATCGGAGATGATGCCACCCAGTTGGTCGGTGCCAACAAACAGAGGCTGTGCAGGCTGATCAACAGTACTCAGGTCGAGGACGTGAGGGATAACCCTTTGAGTTCCATGAGGGAGATCGTCGACGTGCCATGGGTGCGGAACGCCGCAAGAGGGCTTGTTGGCACCACGTCGAGCATTTTGTCGTTCAGGGCACTGATGCCCCTGGCCCTCTCCATAGCACCCGGGCTTCTGGAGGCAGCAATACGAATAAAGGTCATGATTCCTGAGTCCTACCTCCCCGGAGTCTTCATCGTCATCATGCCCCTGCTCTACGTGCCCCTGATCTGGTCGTTCTCGGCCTTCGTCGTGCAGAGCCTGGGCGACCCGTGCCTCCTGGCCGGCATCGCCCTGCTCGCCTTCTCGCCGCTGGCGTACACCGCCCTGGCCATAGGCATGCGCGTCACCTCCCCGATGTCGCGCAGGGGCGCCCAGACCTTTGCGGACCGCGTCTGGTGGTTCATGCCTCTCGCTTCGCGGGGTGCACGTCCGGGCAGCCGCTCTGTGCCACCTCCCTCCCCCATGCGCACTCGCCCTCCACATCCTCCCCCTCCTCTTCCTCTTCTCGCGTGCATCGCCCTCCTTCTTGTTGTTCGTCCTCGCCCTCTTCCGCTGCCTCGTCCTGAGCCGCCGCCTCCTCATGCCGTGATCCCCCGATTATCTCTCCTTCTTCGTCTGGCAAACTCGAGGAGCACGGCCTGTAGCGCTCTTGTGTGGAAAAAGACGCGAGCCGATTGAAAGTCACCGTTGCGACAAACTAAGGTCGCAGGTCGGTGCGGAAAGAAGTCAGGCAGGGCAAAGAGTGACCGACCGGTGACTGCTCCCAGTGGCGTTTCAAACCAGTTTGCAAAGCAAGATTGCTGCAATAGAGCCCGAGCAGGCACAAGCGCAGTGTGGCACCCACTTCTCAGAACACTCCCCCGATGAATGCCCCTACCCTGGCCCCCATTAGGTCAGATTGGCTTGTGCGATAGCAGGCTCGGAATGGAATGGAGTTGGCTGTGTTGCGGGCTGATGGTGAGGCTAGCGCAATCAATGTTGGCTGGCCTGTTATTGAACTCGTCGGCGAAGTATAAGAATGGTCGAGTTATTGACTCTATAGGTGACAAAAAATGTTGTTGTTGGAACTGTAAGTGAAGGCTGGCACTGTCGGATTGTGTAGGCACATCGTATGGCAGTGTATTGCACGTCTGTCAAAGAATGGAAGTTCAGCGTCGGCTGGCGCTGTACCATAGGCTAGCTCGAGACGTGAGACGAAACGTAGGCCTACCGTGCAAGGTGCGAGGGAACGAGCCTCTGGCACTCGGCGGCCCACAGTTGGGCCGGCGCCCCTCTGCCGAAGGCCAGCATGGCCATTGCTTTCACTGTTGCTCCCTCCCCCTGCCCCAGGGCATGCCCGTCCCTCCGAGGGGTAAGCTGGTGCCGCACGCGGGCAAGATATGCAAGTGCGGCCTGCGGCAGTAGAAGCGCCCTGGGTTGCTGGCATCGGAGCCGGTGTAGGCGTGTTTGGGGATGCCCCCAGCAGTGCCGTGCAAGCGGGGGAGCGCCCCGGGGCAGCCAGGGGAGCAGCGCGCGTGGACCCGTGCGGGGAGGGGTGGGCCGAGGAGTGCCGCAGCGCGTCGCCTTGCCCTGGGTGGTGCGGGGTCCCCGGGGGTGCGGGGAGGGCCTGCCCACAGAGACTCAAGGGGGGGGGGGAGAGAACGGGTGCCGTGCCTCCTCCCCAAAAAAAGCACCTCAAGCGCCCTGCCCCCTCCAGTGTGGGTAGCGTGGTCGGTGCTGGCGGCAAAGTGGGCGCCAAGGCCGGCCTGGGCGGGTCAGCCTGTCAGTCTGGAGGTATGCGCCCGTGAGAGAACCTTTGCCCCCCCCCCAGCATGCTCCACCTCCAATCTCCAGGCGAAGAGCGTGATCTTGGCCAGAAGGCCTCGTCTTCAATGTATGGCTGCCGCTGCAGAAATGTCGCGCCCTACAGAAGGAAAGAAAGATGGGCGGACTGGCGAGCGGAGTAGCGGCACAGCGAGCAGAGAGAGCATGCAGGATTAAAGTGAGAGGATTGGGCGAAACATGCAGCGGCCGATGCACCCCGACCTACATTTTTGAGTGCAGTGGGCGATGCATTTTCTCTTGCACTCTGCGGCAGCACTAAAAGTGCCAGCATGCCAGCTGGGATCCCGTCCCCCCATCCTCAAACGAATCACCCTCCAGCATGAGTAGCATGGTCGGCGCTGGCAGAAATCGTGTCAAGGCGGGCTTGAGCAGGCGAGCTTGTAATTCTGAAAGTGCTCGCTCGCAAGAGAAGGGCAGCTAGTAGCCGACTCTCGTAGTCCTCTCGTCGCACAACATAGTGATATTGATGGTTGTTATAAACTGTGTGTAGCCCGTGGGGAAGGGAGAACTGTGGTGTGCTTGGCCACTGAGGAGCATTCTTCTGGCCCCATGTAGGATTGAGAAAGGCACGAGCGTAAGATAGTGCTGCAAAGCAGTGCCTGCTGCAAAGCACATTGCAAGATATTGCGGACATAAGGGTACGAACATAAGATAGTGCTGCAAGAGCGGAACATTAGATTGTGTTGCCTGAAATGCAGTGCGAACGTACGATCGTGTTGCATAATTGCACTGCCTGCTGCAAAGCAGTGCCGCCAGGGTACGGGGAGAGCCCATGCTCAGAGACCCGTTGGAGGACAGTGTGAGTGCCGTACGCAAAAATAGCTATCCTGGCGAAGGGCCCAACCATCTACAATTGCGGGTACCACGTTCTGAATACAGCTTTCGGTGGAGCTCCCTATGGGGCCACGAAACGTGTGAGGGGTGTGCCGAAATTTGGCGGGGACGCCATGCGAACCTTGCCACTGGGACCTTCAGTGGAGCTTCCTGTGGGGCCACGAAGAGTGTGAGGGTTGTGCCGGAATGGGGCAGGGCCGCCATGCGAACCTTACCATTGGAGCCCTCGGTGGAGCTCAACGTGGGGCCAAGAACGTGTGAGCGGGGTGCCGAATTGGGGCGGGGCCACCACGCGAACCCTGCCACTGGGGCATTCTGAGGCCACGAAACGTGCGAGAGGTGCGCCGAAATGGGGCGGGGCGGCATGCGAACCTTGCCACCGTGGCCTCGAGTGAAGCTCTCGATGGGGTCACGAAACGTGCGAGGGGTGTGCCGAAATCTGGGGTGCCGCCATGGGACCCTTGCCACTAGGGCCGTCCGCAAGGCTCCCCATGGGGCCACGAAGCGTGTGAGGGTCGCGCCAAAGTTGGGGGGGGGCGGCCTGCGAACGCAGCCACTGCGGCTCTTCAGTGGACTTCCCTATGGGGCTACGAAGCGTACGATGGCTGTGCCGGAATTTGGCGGGGACGCCATGCGAACCTTGCCATTAGGACCTTCTGTGGAGCTTCCTGTGGGGCCACGAAGCGTGTGAGGGTTGTGCCAAAGTGGAGGGGGGGAGGCATGCGAGCCCTGCCACTGGGATCCTCGGTGGAGCTCCCTTTGGGGTCACGACGAGTGTGAGGGGGATGCCAAAGTGGAGGGGGGGCGGCATGCAAACCCTGCCACCAGGGCCTTCGATGGAACTCCCTATGGGGCCACGAAGCATGTGAGGGGTGTGCCAAAGTGGGGGGGGGGAGGGCGGCATGCGAACCCTGCCACTTGGGCCTTCGGTGGACCCCTGTGGGGGCACGAAGCGTGTGAGGGTTGTGCCAAAGGGGGGGGGGCGGCATGCGAACGCAGCCACTGCGGCCGTTCGGTGGAGTTCCCTATGGGGCACGAAGCGCGTAAGGGGTTTGCCAACGTGGAGGAGGGAGCATGCGAACCATGCCCCTGTGGCCTTGGGTGGAGCTCCTTTTGCCACGAAGCGTGTGAGAAGCGTGCCAACGTGGAGGGGGGGGCGGCGGAGGGAGGAGGGCGGAGGAGGGAGAGGCGGGAGAAGAAGGGGAGGAGAGGCGGCGCGAGGCCCAACACCACCAACACCACAGGATGGTTGGGAACTAATCCCCCCCGCCCCGCCAGTCAGTGATCAGCAAGTGAGGGTGAGGCAGGCATGTCAGACTCAGCAGGCACGCTTGACAACGACGTTGTAGCTCCTGTGCCGTCCCCCAGGTGTGCCCCGCAAGGCTCCATGCAGGGTGTGAGGCCATGGGTACAACGGCGCAGACGAGTACTTGGGCCTGCCGGTCGGTGCTGCGCTGCGTGGTGGTAGTGCGGCGTCGTCAATGCGCTCCTGCACATTTGCAAGGTACTGCTCGTACTGCCGCTGGTGTTCTCGAATTCTGCTGAGGTTGTCTGTCAGAGTTGGTTCGTCCTAGCCGTTTATGTTGTCTATTTGATTGCCATCTGTCGGTGCTGGAGTCGATCCCGTTCGGCCATGTTTCGTAGGTGGTGGTGCGTTTGGTGTGAAGGAAGGCTGTACTGGTTTTCTGTGCTTGTGGCGTTTGTTGTGTCCGTGGAACGCCGGCTAGCCATCCGAAGTTGGCCGTCGATGTACCAGGCGGGGGGCAGAGTACAGGTATCCTGAGCTTGGATGGTGGCGGTGGATGCTGCTGAAGATGGTCTGTATGTTGGTTTGGGGCGTCGGTCTGGACTGGCTGGAGTCGTGGCGTCGATTGGCATGTCGTGAGTTCCCGTTTCTGGTGGTGAAGCTAGGTGTTTGGCTTGATGTTGTGTTTGTTGTAAGGCTGTTGATCTGGGAACCACGTTGCAGATACATGAACTTGAAGTAGGGGGGTGCTTGTGCTGTCTGGTGTGGGCTGCGTTGGCGGCTCGTAAGTGCAGCTGAATGTGTCCCGTGTTGCTGTTGTCTTTCGTAGGTCAATTGCCCAATCTCCTGCTTAAGGAAAGTGGTAAGCAACTGCGATACCGTTGCGGGCTTCGTTGTGGATCTGATGCTAGGGACTGCTTCGTGACGTATGAGCTTGTCGTGGATGGAATGGTTGGCCAATGCTACGTCGATATGGAAGTCCCAGTATCATGCTGGGCGCAAGTTCGTACCGTTGTCTTGATGGTGGTAGGTCGTGGTCAATGTTCGTCGCATGTTTGAGGATGAGTCGTTGTGTTGGTTCGGTTGGGGGCTCCTTGAAGTGCGATGGCGGAAATGTGCGCTGGTCTGGTCGTAGCGGTGGATGTGGGATCACGTATGGATAGTTAAGAGGGTGAAGTGTTATTTGTTGAATGTGTCGAGGTGTCTGTGCCACTTATCGCCGAGGAGGTGGTGGTCTTTGGGGAACTTGTACGTGCAGGCGTTGTCTTGCTTGTTGTAGTGCATCACGCAGTCGAAGTTGTCGTCTTCCATGGCGCAGTATGCTGTCCATCCAGGTGATCAGTGGATGTCATGCTGTGGATGCCATGGTAGCGATGTGAGGGTAAACGGTGGTGATCCTTCGTTGTCGCAGTCGCTGTCGTAGGCGTCTTTATGCCAGGGGTCATCGGTGGGTGTTGGTGCAGACATGTTGGGTGGTGGTAGGAGGGTAGATGGTGATGGCCTTGGACTGTCGTAGTTGGCTGTCGTAGTTGGCGACGTGCCATGAATGTTTGTTTGGTGCTGGTGCTGGTGCTGGCGCTTTGGGTATTGGTAGTGAAGTGTTGGGTTGAAGTGGTGGTGCTGGCATTTTAGGCTGGGGTGGTGGGATTGATGGTGTTGGCGTTGGTTGCTGGGTGTGGCCGTGATGTTGTCTCGGAGGTCGGAAGTTGATGTATGGTAGTAGTTGACTAGGTGGCTTGGGAGGGAATTGTCCCGCGCATCGCTTCCGTAGGATGCCTTGGAACTCGTATTGCGTCTGTTCTGCTTGGCGTAGTTCTGGTAGTTGGGCCTTGTAGTAGACGTGCTCTTCGCCAATCTTGGGCTAGTAGCTTGAATTAGATCCGTGGCATGTTGTACTGTTTCGGTGGTAGAGTCTGTATCATTATACCTTTCCATTCACTGATCTGCTGTATGATGAGGTCAGGGGCCGTATGCACTTCAACGTATTGCGGCTGCTCGTACGTCGTGGGTAGTGTGATGTGCCGGTGCGTTCTGTCTATGATCAGTGTAGCCCATGGTGGGCGGAGCTTTGTTGCTCCAGAGGTGTGCAATGAGTCTGCCAGAAGGTTGGTCAATGAGAGCAGCTCTGAGACAGTGTCAATGTTGGTGTTGGTCACTGAGCTAGTGAACTGGTTGGCGGTCGTATCCTGGTATACGGGCTAGAGGCACTCTTTTCGTAAACCGCGAAGTCGTAGCGTGTTGTAATTTATGTGTTGCAAGTCTTGCGTAGAGTCTCCAACAAATCTCGCTCGGAGCCGTCCTTGTGTAGTATGCGCACTACAGTCGCACTCGTTGTTTTACAATGTCGTCGGTCAGCTCGTTCCATGGTATTGGCATGATCTTATGATGCTGGATGTCGTGATGATCCCTCCTCCGCCTCCTCCCCCTTCTCCCCCTCCTGCTGCTGCTCCTCCTCCTGCTGACGCCTCACGCATGTGGGCACACCGTGTGCTTACCGCCC